GCAAGTTGCCAAAGGGAGAACGCGACAGGAAAAGCAGAAAAGGTGCTTCTGCAAATGGCCGTGCTCTTGTCCAGTGTGAGGATCGGATATTCTCATATCTTTTGTTCTTCGCAAGCACCAGCTTCGAAGCAAGACTTGCAGCCGCTCAAAGCCGACAACGTCTCGATTTTTCAATGGACGCAAGATGGTACGATTGAACCAATCAAACTGGTCAAAGGGCTCCAGCTTCAAAAAGCGAGCCAAAGAGAACAAATCTTCTGCCTTTGCATTTGCACAACTGGATGTGAAGTGAAACATTCAAGTGTAAAACAAACGACATCCATGTAGGTGTTATGCAGTAATTCATTTTATATACTTATATCCGTATATAGACTATACATAGAACCCCTTCTAATGCACACTTGGTCGGCGGAGTTCTGGATGGGTGTGCCCGTCAAGCACCACTTGCATTGAGCCTCCAGCAGCTTGAAGACAGCTTGCGCTGTCGCCTGCCTCACAAACCCATTTCGCTACACATTCAAGTGAGCACATCCATTCGTTCTGAACATCCAAAGACACACCAATTAGAAGCTTAGCTACTTGTGTCCTTTGATGACATGCGCTTCGTCGAGCACAGCCCTATACCATGGGACTGAGCCAAGACCTTGACTCTGATCTCGTGCTTCTGATCTCACGATATCCTTAGCTTGTGCCCTTGGCAACTGCGTCAGAACAACTGGCTTTACCTAAGCACCAAACACTCCCCCCTAAGATTCCCATGGTTCAGCCTGATATCCACCCAATCTTGCAAGGAGGCCGCACACCACAAACACACAAACCGTGCAACATGTCTAGGCCAAGCAGTGGAACATTGTGAGACTAGGGGCTCCTGGCATCGCTACTAGGAGCAAGGACGCTACTAGGGGCTCCTGGCCTTACTACTAGGAACAAGAAGCTACAGGGTCTCCCGGTCTTACTACTAGGAACAAGAAGCTATTGGAAACAATAAATAGGATTAGAATTGACATTAATCATTAATTTCAATTTAATACACCACAAACACACAAACTGTGCAACATGTCCAGGCCAAGCATCATAGGTGGTCAAAGTGACATCATGCAGTGTAAAGGTCCGTGGGTTCCGATCTCGATCAGGACCATGGTAGGTGCGCACGCGCAAAGTGGGCGCATGTAGCTTGAGCTGCTCAGACCAGTTGTACAAAACAGAAAGAGGGCAAACTATGAGATTGTTGCCCATGTGCTTTTTGCCCCTTCCCTCACTCATGGTGGCCAGCATCAAAGCAATGGTGGTGATAGTCTTGCCCAGGCCCATGTCATCCGCTAGAATTCCCCCTCTAGGGAGCAAAGGAGGGTGTTTGAATGCCGAATTTGTTGCCAAATTCTTGTAGATCACTTGGCCCTTTGGAGACACGTCCTTGGTCCAAAAGAAGGCCTGAGAGCTGCCAAATCGCGCGCTCTTCGAACTTAGCCTTGCCACATCATCACTGGCTTCCGCCAGTTTCTCTGCCACTGTTAGAGCCCTTTCTTGCTGGATCATCCAGTGCAAAGCCTTCCTTGCTTGCTGCTGCCATGGAGTCAAATACACAACATGTTATTTTAGTCATGTTGTATGGCTCTCGGGGCCATATAACTATACAGCTATTTATGACAGTTAGTTACGTTGGATTCTTAAGTAACCCAACTCAACCAAGCTACAGTTGATGTGGATAGAGATCGGTCTTCAAGCCGTCTGGCTGCTTCGCCAAAGGGCTAGCTTCATATCCACCTGGCTGGCGGAATATCTCCTCCAACTCTCGCTCGATGATGTCTTGCATCGTTGGCCCCATCTTGGATGCAGTGCTCTTCAGGGGCTTGCTACCCATGATCTCGCGCCACATCTGTGGCGTCAACCTCAAAACAATGGCAGGGAAGCTTGCTTTTTCTGCAGCACACAGCCATGATTTTTACCACACTGGGGCATTGCGTGGGTCAGCCTGGGTCAGTGTGGTCAAACCCCACAATTCAAAAACGTACACAAAAAGAAAAGGTCCAATGGTCTGAAGCCCGATGTTTCCCTTCATCGCCCCCCTCTCTGCTCTTTCTCCTCCACACAAATGTGCATAGACACACACACACACCAAAAACAATGTCGGGCAGCTCTTGCACTGGAGTTCCAGCTTCACGCGGAGCGCTTACCACCTCAACTGCTCCACGCGCTGCACAGCAATAGGTGCGTCGCAACCGTTCCCCCAGATCACGGAGCTGCGGTGCTACATGGCCAGAAGGATCATGGCCGAACACTTGCAAACCTCACTGAGGGCAACAACTTGGTAACTTGGTCTTCTCCGTTTCATCGTGTGTGGTTATGCCAATGCTATTCTTCGGGGGAGGTTAAGCTGCTACGAGATCTAACCAAATAATGGAACAGGGAGGTGGGGAAGCTGAGCAATTGCAATAGCAACACATATAATATATATATATGCAGCACAGGACACATTATGTAACACACATATATATATACAATAGAATGATATACGTATATAAGTAGATGTCACATGTGTCCCTATCATGCCATGTTATATAGTAAGTAAAAACGGGTCACTGGAACATGAAGCTACTGGATGCACAATCGTGGCTTCGCCTCAGGTTCTGCAAGAAAGCTTCTTCTTGTGGAATGAAATGGCCCGAAGGATTCCTAAAAGCATGTGATGCAAATACTCTCACTCTCTCATACTGTCATTGTATAAAACTAAACATGTATATGTGATTTTCTATGTTTTATATACTAGGTAAAACTGCCACATGCGACTACCATTTTCTGAACTACGGTGCAACCCAAGCAAATCTATGGTGAACATAAAGCACTTACAACTTAAAACATGCTCTATATCGTCATGTATATGTATTATTTATATTACTTAAGTAATATTTGTTTTGTTGAGCGCTCAACGCATGTCAGGATTCGCTTGAGGTCAACTCTTTTGAACACATTGCAGCCTGAATTGCAGCTTAGAGGCGTATAGGGATTGAATATACATTGCCAGAGCCTCTTGGTATGTGTCCTTCAACCCGGAGTTCACCATCAGCAAGGCGATCCATCACAGGAGCAAGAAGGCCCGCCATTTCACGAGGAACATGGCCAATCTGGTCACCGCGAATGTTCAGGACCTCCAGGCGCGTTCAAGATGTTGGAATCGGTAAACGAGGAAATCCCTGACGAGCACCTCGACGCCTCTGAGAAGGTCGTTCGAGGCGTATTTAGTAGCCGGATAACTAGCCTGATATTGTAGTAGAACTATGTAGGTTCCATGGATATGTGCGCCTATATGTGACAGTATACGCTTTCGTGGGTGATACATACATTTTGAATGCCCAGTGACCCTTGACAGGTTTAGCCCTTGACGCCTGTATAGCATTGCGATCGTAGATGTTTGATGGCTGCCTGCGCAAGACGACAGACTCCCTGTCAGACACCACGCCGTCATAGTGTTGAACACCAACAATCTTGCTTCCAAGAGCGAGAAACCACCTCTCCTCGATCCCCTCTTCCCGATTCAGTGGAAGGAGAGCCTGTGATTCTGGCTCTGTGCGTTCGATCGAAGGTGTCGGATCTTGCAATTTCCTCTTGCCACTGGTGCCTGTGTGCGTCCTTCCTTCTTGGGATGGATCAGCCACTGATGCCCTGAATGCCTGTGTGCTCATCTCCACGTCATGTCGTGCCGCGGACGATGCTTGCCAGGTTGCACGGGAGGATGCGCTTGGAGTGATATCAGGTTCATCTTGTGATGAAAGAATCCTCGGTTTGCTGTGTCATGTTTGGGTGGCCGGTGGCCAAATGCGATTCCGTCATTTATCCCATCTGCGCACAGCCATCGCAAAGCAAGGGAACAACTATAAGCGTACTATAAACCGATCATAGCCCCCCTTTCGTTTTCACACCTCTCCGCCGAGTGAAAGCATTAAATGGTAAACTCGACATAAATCATTGGATAGGGGGGCTCGTTGGCCAAGTCCAAAGTACTGACTGGTACAAGCAAATATCTTCCGGTCTTGACAGGTGCTCATCGTGAACTGTTGGCTGATCTCACTACAATGTCCAATACATATCAAAACTGAGCTTGTTATGATGCTTATAGGCTTAGCCGCCCAGATGCCTTGCCGCGACCCCAAAAGGTTAAACAAGCAACTGTACATATATTACTAAAGTGCAGTGCTACATTTATATCATTTATATATCATGGTAACTATCATGGTAATTGTATTTAACTGTTTAGCAGGCTGTTGACGGCTCGAGGCATCTTTAGGTTCGATATCTCCATAAGTTGCAAACTCTGAGGAACTCTTCCAGCTCCGGTGCCGGCTGCTTCCGCGTCAACTTTCGCCTTAATGGTCTAGCCGAGGTTTGTGAAGCTGCTGGCCTCCGTTTGCTCGCCATGGACGTCCAGCATGGGCTACATTCGTTACGTGAAATGTCAGTGCACAGGCGTGGAATCCGTCTTGTCTGATACGCCTAGAAAAGATAGAGAGAGATGGTGCACACTTTAGTGAGGGCTTCAGGCTCGGAATACCCTGTATAATTGTGCAAACGATATGCCGGACCTTAAAGCTATGCGATGTGCTCGGCGTCAATCCCGAGCATGGAAATCATGGAACATGATACAGGTCTGGATCTTTCACCCAGCCCAAGCTGGAGCCGAGTCATCAAGTCATTCCTTTGAGCGTCACCAAATAGAGCTTAGCACGTCAGAATGATCTGGAATGTATAGAGCAACTATGAGGAATCTCTATGGCAAGCCGAACCAGCAGAATCTGGGGCCTTGCATGGCCTTTGAGGTGCATTCAGCCACACACCTGCAGTAAACCTAGGATTTAAACACCTCCTCTAATTATATGTAGTTGATCAGAGCCTCGAATATTCGCCCAAATTGAGAGTAACATAGAGTAGCTATATTGAACTATTGGTTGTTAATTCCTCCATGAAGAACAAACTTGGTTGTTCGACCCCCTGACTGAGCTATCAGCTTTCACAACCTCTGCACCAAAGTAGGCCAAGGTAGCTCCTCTGTGAAAGCTGAAGCATTGGCAGCACAACTCGGGGGGACAAAGTATTGGTCAAGTAGGACAAGGACACCGGAAAAAAGTAAACAAAATGAAACAAGCCCCACAAAGCCAGGGTGATGCATGGTGATGCCTTGCACATGCTCTACTCGGTCAAGTGCGGGGACGGGAGTATATAGAAACAAGGCCGAGCGTGCTTTCGGAATGCTGCCGTTCTTGCAGGCCACCTGCTCGGCACATGTTCACTGATTTTCGGATCTGGGAGCACCATTGATATTGCGACCTGGCAATGGCAACGGCACTCGTGGGAGCTGCCTGGATAAAGCTTTGTGGTGGGATATTTCAAGGAGGAATTGCATAAGGGCAGTATGGTTATCTGCGTTGGAGCAGCGATCCTGCCAGTTGGCCGCACAATAATTGATAACAAAGCCAGGGTTTGGGGATGATTGACTTTTCACAGCCACCTCTCCAAGTAAGGACATACTCTTTGTGCGGCGGCGGCCCAGTTGCGAGTGGAAAAACAGGCTTGCTGCTTGCTGTTTGTGGAACAGTGTGGGTTGCAGGCCTCCAACTGCCAACTGGCAGTGTGTGATCAGCTGGCTTGTCCTTCATACAGTCGTGTATGTATGGAATGTAGCTGGAGCTGTCTGTGTCCATCTGTGCGTTAACCGAATGGAGGCGGTCTTCGCAGGGCCAAGGCTGCCGATCGCTTCCCCTATGTCCACCTTGCGAAGGCCCCCCTGCTGCGGTGCAGGGCAGTGGGTGGCAGGATCTACAGCGGAATAGCGTGGTCTCTCACGCCAACCCACAATGCAGCCTCCACAGTCTTGATATTGAGCAAACTGAGCATGAGGACAGCCGACGGCGCCTCACTTGCGCACGCAACATTGGCTCACATGTACCGGCAGCATGTTTTTGAAAATTTGTGAAAAAGTCACTCACCTGCGCACACTGAATGAACTCACATACACATCGATTTAAACAAATACAAAACTGGTACCACATACTCACCCGCGCACACAGATTTAGCCCACCTGCGCACACACAAATTGAGTTGATGTGATGTGTAGCACAGGCGAGCAAATCCCACGTGCACAACCGAGGCCCGCCCATAGCCGACCAGGACAGCTTCTGAGCTGCAGGTGTACGTGATCAATCATGGCAACCGCGCGGGAGACTCGAAATTCAGTGTGTCAAGAAACAGGATTGAACCAAGGAGAAGCTTGGATACTCAAACAAACTTCTGCTACAAATGCATGTAAGGGTAAGGCTTCATGCCACTCCTCGCATGCACTTTGTGCACAGGACCGGTCGTCCAGTTTTCAACAAGTTGGTAAGTTAAGTTGAGGCATGTTCGAGAATAATACCACATCTTGAAATGTGTGTCACTCCTGCTTAGCGGCGCATCACTCCTACACTGACCAATTTGCGCATCACCTTCGATCGACATCTCACTATAATATAGCTGAACTCCTCCAATCAAAATGTTGCAAGTTACAACAATCAGTCCTGTCCAGCCACCTGCCACAAGGCCCGGTCCTACCTGCACATCGGCCACCGGCAACCCCTAACCGGTGCGTTGTCACTATCTTACTGGAACCCACTTACTGGCACGGAAGCTCTACAATTCTGTCAGCTTGGCATCCCTCTCGCAAATATTCCACATTGTGTGCCTTTAGGCGGCAATAGCTGCTCGTTGATTTCAGTTTCTTACGAATCTGAAGATGCTGCACCAACCCGGAGGCTTATCAATGCGAACGGATGGAAAGGTGTGCCCTGGCCCCGTTCTAGCCCTTAATTCAACATGAAGCTCGCGCGCTAAAGCTCCTTTTTACCTGGTTGGGCACTTGAGCCAAAAGTATATGGCATGTACCTGTATAGCAACTATACTGGGACCTCATCCCTATTGACACCCCCCACATCCGTACTTCGACGGGGAAGGGAGATGAGTGGATGTAAAAAAACCGGAGAACGGACACGTTCTCAAAAGTGTATTGGAGGTCAACCAGTATGTCCTATTGAACTGAATTAGCAAACGATCTTGCGTTCGTTTGAAAGTTGGATCAAACAGGTAATGGAGCTACAAACGGAAAACGTGCACCTACCTATGGTATAATGCGATTACCAGCGGTGTGAAACACAATCCTATCTCACTCCCATGATGCCAAAACGGTCATCATGAATTACCCAAGATCCCTCAGTACATGAAGTACCAGAAGTGGCATGTCGGTATGACCCCAATGCTCAACCATTCGTGAGTTGTCGCATGTAGTCAGCGCCGACAAAGCCAATGTAGTCCTTGATGAGCTCAACGTTCCTCGGATTTCCCGCTCGGATCTGCTCCTCGAAGAACTTCAATTTCTGTGCTTGGATATCGGATACCTCTATGCCATAGTAGCGGCATGCAACGAGGATCTCCTTCGTGACATTCTTCCGCTCCGATTTGATGGCGGGACTAATGTCGATGAATTTGTATGGAGCGGCACTTTCGTCATCTGGTTTCTGGTAGTAACTATATCGGCTCGCTCCGAAGGTCTTCCTGATCAAGCGTCTGATGAAATTTGAGATGAATGCCAGTTTCTCGATGATCTCTTCCTGGGTCTCAGACCTTCGAGCCTTTGGATCACTCATGTTACGCCGAGTGCTGCCGACCTCTTTGAGGTACTTGTGGCTAGGCCCGCAGCGGATTGCAGTGATCATCATCGGGTGAACAACGTGGGCTTGGAATTCATAGATCTGCCACGCTTCTGTTGCGTACACGTCGTTGGTCCATTTGCTCATGCCTACGACCTCGGCTCTCTGGAGACGTCTTGGAAACCCAGTATCCGGATCATTCGGTACTATTGGCCATCTATTGTACGGAGTGTCATGCCGCTGTCCATCGTCGAACTTTCGCAGTACGTCTTCACGACTCTCAAAGCAGTTGATGTCGAACGTCGCGTTGGCCAAGCTCTTGATCAACTTCATCAACCTCAGATCAAATTGCTGTGTGACTGCAAAGTTGTGGTCGATGGGGATCGCAGCTTCTTGTGGCAATTCGTCAATTGCGAAGGGGAAAGGCTGCGGAAGTTCATTCCCGTATCCATCTTGAGGGACCTCCCGATATTCGGGTTCGCCTTCAGCTTCGTCCGGTCGTTCCTTCAAAATGATAGGAACTTCCTCCTCTTCCTCTCCTTCGGATTCCTCGACCTCAATGACCTCTTCGGCTGTCTTGCGTGCATTCTTGATGACTTCATCGATGTTTGCATCTGCAGCAGAAGTTGCTTCACCGGAAGAACTGGCTGGGACATCTTTCGGAGGTGATCGTTGATTGCGGTCCCTTGTCTCCTTGGGTACCACATGCGTGAGTTTCCCATTCGCGATCAAAACCGCTACGCAGTGCGGACATATCGTCAATCGCACATCGACTTCGCCAAGACAGTTAGGACACGGTCTTGAGTCATAGTCTTTCATTGCCCGGCGGTACACGATTTCCTCAAAGATTTCCTGCCACTCGGTGCTATCATATTCTGGGTAGACACCACTCTCCTCGATCATACCCAACAGTTTTGAGATTTTGGCGTCGTCCTCGGAGTAGGTATCGTCCTGAACCTCAACCGCTAAACTCTCAAGCTTTTGAAAGCGTGGGATCATGATCGGGTTTCCGTATTTGGACTCCAGAACAAGGTAGCTTCCAGGGTCGGGTTCCCTATTGAGTAACCTGATCCATTCGATCTCCTCAGGCTGTCCGGGTTCCGCATTGTCGCATTGCAACCATGCCCCTTTAACCTCATCGAAGGGAACGACGTTCTCAACCAATAGAGAGCCAGTCGCTGAGATGAGAAGTCCGTACTCCTGCAGCTTCCACACCGGAATGTAGAGAACCACTGGGCGATCACTCAATGCGACCTTACGACCCAGCCAAGGTTTTCCCTTGTAGCCCTGCTCCCAGGCCCATGGCGGAAAACATGTGAAGTGGATAGAATCCCTTCCCGATGAACCGAGACCTCCTGGCACTAGCCCCCGTCGCGTGATTGAAGTCAGCGCTCCAAGGTTGGTAGCGTGAAATGCAGTCACCATAGATAGGGCCATGTCGTTGGTCATTCTCGATCCAATGTGGTCGATGTTAATGGTAACGTCATAACCTCCGCCGTCCGTTGAGTGTGCTGAGGTTGCTCTTACGGCCACGGGAAAGCACCATCCATCGCTATGGTGGAGTCTTCCTTTAGAGATTCCCATGCCCTTGAGTTCGTCAATCCATTCCTTCTCCATCGGGTCATCAGGGTCATTGAGTTCATCAGGGTGAATGCGGACTGCCAGCATTTGGAATCTGATCCTCTTGGTTATGCGGAAACACTCATAGTTCTGGTCGAAGTACTTCTCCAAGCGCGCCTTCTTGGTCACGATATCTATGTTGCCATAGTGATAACCGTCTTCCCAAGCCGCATTATCACCTAACAGGTCTTCCCACGACACCCATGCGCCTTCATCGCATTTGATTGGTGCGAGTCTTCCACCTGTCCTGAACTGGCGTCCAATTCGATGTCTCAACTTCGCTCCCAATCGACGACTCAGGGCTTGGCTCGCTTGGCTGTATTCAGGTACTCGACAGTCTGGAGTCGGATACTTGTGGTTGCCGTAGTCGGAGTTATTTGCAGCGAAAGTGACTCCGTTGATCGGTACTAGTTCAACTTTCCCGACCATCGTCATGGGGTCGATCGGCTTGTATCCCTTCTCCCTCCGTGTCGGTAGGGGATAGAAGTGATGACATGCCTTTGGTGTGAGGGAACTGGAGTGCACAAATGCCTTCTCTACAAATTCGTACACCACCCTCATATCCCTAGGGCCTGCTTCCGCAAGCTTCCGCCCATTGTAGGAATGTGTCCCTCCATTCGACTCCATCAGCACTTTCGATCAAGGTGAATCCGTCATGGTCGAACATCGTCACGACTCTTGCTTTCAACATTTCTTTTCGCCTGAACTCGCTGTCGACCTTCCTATCTGGAGTAGGCGATGCTCTCTGCTTCTTCTTCTTAGGCTCCTCGGTTGGATGTCCAGATGGTACATCGTCGGGTGCAACCTCTCCCTTCACTCTCTTCTTCCAATCACTCAACACTGAGGTGACTGTAGGTGAAGATGAAGGGGTCTTCTCGCAATTGAGAGTTGTGTGTCCCGACTTCATGCAGTGGATGCAGAATTCTGCTTGCCCGATCTTCTTCTCAAATTCGTCGATGGCTTGCAGTATTGATGTCTTCGGGTCGGACATGTCAACGTCTTGCTCCTCCTTCTCCTGTTCACATTCAGTCTCCATATCGACACCTTCGGCCTCGGGCTGGTCAGTAGCCTCTGTTCCCTGTTCTGGTTCTTTCCCAATTTCGAAGAAGTGGTCGATGTCGAATTCAGGAGGCGGCATGGTCCTCATGCGAACGAGAATCAGTGCCACGTTTGCCGCCTCATCAGAGTGCGGGTCCAAGGTCCTGATCGTCGATCGCTTTCGGTTCTCATACGTTGTCCTGTCGTACAGCGATGCAGTGACGCGTTTGATGGATTCTTCTAATCCCGTCCTCAAAGCTTCGATGTCACCCCATCCCTTGAACATGTACCGGAAGAGTTGAGCAATTTCGAACATGCCCAGCAGCGCTTCCACCATGTCACCTACCCGTTCCTCCGTGGGATCATCTCCGAATATAGTGCGGAATACATCGGGCTCCAGTATGGTCTTGAGGTATTTGGTGTAGCACACGTTGCCAAGGTCATAGGATCCCTGGTAGTACTTGGCGCTGCCGACTATCTGCTTTTCCACATGGATGCTGGGTCCTCTCCTCGTTTTGAAGAAGTTCTCCGTCATTGTTGATGACAACCTGATCCCCCCGAAGAACGAGATTTCCTTCTGGAAACCTGGATTCTCGTTAAAGATGATCATCGCCTCGTGTAAGAACTTCATCAAGTCTTCGTGCGGGTTCATCTCGGAGATCATGACGATGGGAGAGGATACCGTTTGCCCCATGCCGAAGTTGTGAAGCAATCGAGCACATGCATGAAATCGCTTCTGGACGTAGTCTTCTGCGGACATCCCACGGCATCTATTTGCTGCTCCGTTGATGCATTCTGCATAGCAATCGTCTTTCAAATTGCAGACCAGACAGTAATCGCAGCAAATTTCCTCACCCTCCTTGAAGTCATCAATGACGTACCATCTTTGAGTCCTCGAGTATATTGGTTCTGGCTGAAGGACTCCCCAGTACTCATCCATCCATGGCATTTTGTTCTCTCTCCTTACCTTCTCCCTCTTCCTCCGCTCGGACTCATTCTCACCTGAAGGCTCCGCAGTGGACTGATATGCATGGCTTCCTCTTACGGAATCTCCGAACAAGTACTGATACAACCTCTCTTTGTCCTGCAACACGTGTTCCAAGTTGGGATCATGGAGGCTATTCGCTTCAGTCAAGGGATCCGGTGCCATAAAACAAGAAGCAAGCATCTTTTCTCTGAACAAGTACTTTTCCATGACAGCGTGGACCAAAGAGGTTCCAGACTTCATAGAGTAGGGGTGACCGCTTCCGG